GGGGGGACGGCGCTCACATCTGCATAAGCTCACATGAGCCCGCTGGACACATTAATAAGCATTTTTAGTTTGATAGGATTTAATTTTGAATTTTACCCTGGTGTCAGCCGAAGCCTACTCTTATCGAATTTAGAACCACCAAGGGATCTTTAACGTACTCAACTTGTACACGAGACCTCCGAGATTTTTTCGCCGTTGTATGAGAAGGCTAGGTACATGTACTACTAGGTGTTAGATCTTACCTACCTTAATATCAGGGGTATTGCTGAAAGACAGCAGTAAGAAGAAAGTTTGCAGAAAGTGTCAGTAGCCCAAAGCAGGGGGCAAACAAAGGGGAGGGGATTGGGGGGTTGGTCAGAAAGTGGAGACAAAAGCAAACAACACACCATGGTTAGAGATCAGGAAAGTATGTGAAAGGAGAAAACTATAGAGAAGAACATTTTCAGTCGTTGTCACGTTTTGAACCCGGGACCTATTGCATGAGAAGCAAAAACCGTACCTCTAGTCCACGAGAGCCCCACTCGTATCTTTAATGTCCACTTGAAAATAAAATGTTCATGTAAGTGGGCCGTACGAAAAAGTTGCTTTAAAAGGAAGCAAAAGTGGGCGGTGGCTATAAAAAAAAAAGATTTGACAAGCACTAATCTAAATTGAGTTGACGAAGGTTAAAAACGCAAAGCACTTTTATAAATGGCACATGGCTCATTGATAGTCTGAAAGACAGGATCAAGAAAAAGTAGGAAATAACAAAACCACAAACAAAAAAGCAAATAAAAAAGAAACAAAAAAAAAAAACAATAACAATCAAATCTAAATGTTTAACTACCTGCACATATCCTCCAACCGTAAAGATGGTTACAACCACACACAAAACTTTTACCGCTTTCATCCCTGAACGCACACGTTGTAAGCGAACACAAACACACACAAAAAAACGTGTATTCACGTTTCAATCAAATATCCGTATAATTTAAATGGATGATATCCAAAGTTTCAAATTCCTGTCGTGATGGAAAAACCATTCCAATACACTACTCAAGTCTCACTCCAGTTGGCCCCTCGAGAACCAAGCACTCGCCTTCGCACCCACAGAGAAGGGAAAAATACGAGTGGTGTAATGGGGACAAGTAACGCATCACTTAAAAGTAATGACGGGTAAAAAAAAATCTGTACTATTACCAGTATTACTTAGCAGTGGTTTTTGACTGGAAGAGCTTTCGTGCAGTTTCTTCTTTGTGGAGATTGAAGCGAAAGTAATAATCGATAGTCGTGTTTCTGCGCTTAGAGCTTGTTTCCCAACGGAATAGAGCGCTATACCATTATTAATTAATTTTTTAATGCATTTTTATACAGCACATTTCCACGCTCTACAGCACGCTCTATGCGCTTCTCAACTATTATACATGTTATTTGTTTCAATCCCTTTGTATCACGGGCAAACACGACCCGAAATATGACTCTTTTGTACAGCGTGCATGTTCCAATGACCTACTTCAAACCCCATCAAGGCACAAAGAGTTACTACTGAAAAGTTAGTATTCTCCTATCTCTTCCCCTACCAATAGATAAGTACCCTTTTACTGTCATGTGTGTAAACCAAAATCGGGCCTTGCTCCTTTTCAATGAATGGAACTCCGCACGCAGAGACGAAGAAAATAGAAGAAAAGCCTGGTGGGTCTAATCCGGCTCACTATTGATTAGATGAGGACATAAGGTGAATTGTATTGATTATCCTGTGACACTTATACAACATGATGATAATGATAATAATGATAAAAACATTAATAATAGAAAAAAAATAGACAGCCATAATATAATAATATGATGATAATAATAATAATGA